TGGCAAGGTAGCCTGCAGGAATTAGCTTGTGCTATTTTTGATATATTCTGGGAATTAGCCTGTGGCACTGTACTTCCGGCAAGGTAGCCTGCGGCGGCAAGGACAGTTATGGCGGGAAGTTGTATTTCCGGCGGGGTAGCCTGCGGGAATTAGCTTGTGGTATTCCTGACAGGTGGCGGGAAATATGTGTGGTATTTCCGGCAAGGTAGCTTGCGGTAATTAGCTTGTGGTATTCTTGACAGAGCGGGAATTCGCCCATGGTATTTCTGGCAAGGTAGCGGGAATTTGCTTGTGGTATTCCCGGCAAGGACAGGTAGCGGGAATTAGATTGTGATATTTCCGGCAAGGTAGCCTGCTGGAATTAGCTTGTGGTATTCCTGACAGGTAGCGGGAAGTAGCCTGTGGCATTTCCGGCAAGGACAGGTGGCTTGCGGGAATTAGCCTGTGGTATTTTGACAGGTAGCGGGAATTTGCCAATTTTATTTCCGACAAGGTAGTTATCGGACATTTGCCTGTGGTATTCCTGACCGGTAGCGGGAATTAGCCGTGTTTCCTGAAAGGTACCGGGCATTAGTCTAGCTGTGGTAGTTCCGGCAAGGACAGTTATAGCGGGAAGTAGTTTCGTGCATTTTCCGGCAAGGTCGTTTGCGGGAATTCGCCTGTGGTATTCCTGCAAGGTACCGGGAATTTGCTTTTGGTATTTCCAGCAAGGACAGGAAGCGGGAATTAGCCTATGGTATTTCCGGCAAGGTAGTTTGCGGCAATCAGTTTGGTATCTTTGACAGCGAGCGGGGGTTTGGCCTGTGGTATTTCCGGCAAGGTAGGCCAAGGCAATTTGCTTGTGGTATTCTTAGCCTTTGGTACTTCTGGCAAGGTAGCCTGCGGCGGCAAGTCCAGGACAGGTATAGCGGGAATTAGCCTGTGGTATTTCTGGCAAAGTAGCTTGCGGGAATTAGCCTGCTGACAGGTAGCGAGAATTTGCCTGTGGTATTTCCGGCAAGGTAGTTTGCGGGAATTCGCCTGTGGTAGTCCTGACAGGTAGTGGGAATTAGCCTGCGGTATTTCCGGCAAGGTAGCTTGCGGAAGTTAAGCTTGTGCCGGCAAGGCAGCGGGAATTAGCCTGTGGTATTTCCAGCAAGGACAGGTCGCGGGAATTAGCCTGAGTTATTTCCAGCAAGGTAGTTTGCGGGAATTAGCTCGTGGTAGCCAGAATTAGCGAATTAGCGCTTTTGGTATTTCCGGCAGGGTAGCAGCAATTCGCTTGTAGTAGTGGTGTTCCAATATAGGGTCGCCAGTTAACTAGCTGGTGGCGTTCCTGAAAAGTAGCGTCGCGTAGCCTGCGGTATTTCTGGCAAGGTAGCGTGAACTAGCCTGTGATATTTCCAGCAAGGCCGTAGCCGGAGTTAGCCTGTGGCCTTTCCGGCAAGGGCAGGTAGCGGTAGCGGCAATTCGTTTGTAACAGTAGGGTAGAGGTATTTTTGACAGGAGCCGGCGCGTGGTTTTTCCGGCAAGGTAGCGGGAATTATCATGTATTAGTAGTGTTCGAGCCGGGATCCAGTACATTAGCTTGTGGTATTCCTGAAAAGCAGTCGGTAATCTAGCTTGTGGTACTCCTGATAGGTCGCTGGATTTAGCCTGTGGTATTTCCGGCAAGGTAGCACCAGGTAGCTTGCGAGAATTAGCTTGTTGTAGCGGGATTTAGCTTGCGGTAGTTCTGGCAAGGTAGCCTGCGGGAATCAGCTTGTGGTAGCGGGAATTTGCGCCTGTTGTATTTCCGGCGAGGTAGCGGCAATTTGTATGTAGTAGTGGTGTTCCAGGAGGGTAGCCAGTAAATGAGCTTGTGATATGTTTGAAAAGTAGAGGCAGCCAGATGTATTTCCGGCAAGGTAGCGGGAACAACCTTTTGGTATTTCCAGCAAGGTCGTAGCTGGAGTTCGCCTGTGGTATTTTCTGACAGGTAGCGGCAACTCGGTCGTAATAGTAGGGTAGCTCGTAAACTAGTTTGTGATATTCCTGACAGTTAGCGGCGCGTAGCCTGTGGTATTTCCGGCAAGGTAGCAGGAATGTGCATGTAATAGTGGTGTTCGAATATGGTAGTCAATTAGGATGTGGTATTCCTGAAAAACAGCAAGTAAATTAGCCTGTGGTATTCCGGACAGGACGCGGGAACTAGCCCGTGGTATGTCCGGTAAGGTAGCAGCAATTTGATTGTAGTATAGCGTGTGGTATTTTTTGTAAGGTAGCGGGAATTTGATGGTTGTATTTCTGGCAAGGTAGCGGCAATTTGTTTGTAGTAGCGGTGTTCAAGTAGGGTCGCCCGAAATTAGTTTGTGGTTTTTCTGAAAAGAAGCGGCGCGTAGCCTGTGGAATTTCCGGCAATGTAGCAGGAATTTGCTTGCGGCATTTCCTGCAAATTAGCGGCGCGTAGCCTGTGGTATTTCCGGCAAGGTAGCGGGAATTAGCTTGCGGTATTTCCGGCAAGGTAGTGGCAATTTGTTGGTAGTAGTGGTGTTCGAGTAGGGTAACCAGTAAAGTAGGTCGTGGTATTACTGAAAAGTAGCGGCGCGTAGCCTGTGGTAATTCTGGCGAGGTAGCAGGAATTAGCCTGTGGCATGTCCAGCATGATGATCGTAGCGGGAGTTTGCCTGTGGTATTTCCAGCAAGGTAGCGGCAATTCGCTTGTAGCAGTGGGTAATACAACATTAGTTTGCGGTATTCTTGACAGGTAGCGGCGCGTAGTTTGCGGTATTTTTGGCAAGGCGGGAATTAGCATGTAGAAAGAAGTGGTGTTCGAGTAGAGGGTCGCCAGTTAACTACTGTGTGGTATTTTTTAAAAGTAGCCAGTAAACTAGCCTGTGGTACTCCTGACAAGTCGCGGGATTTAGCCTGTGGTATTTCCGGCAAGGTAGCGGCAGGTAGCTTGCGGGAATTCGTTTGTGGTAGCGGGAATTAGCCTATTGTATTTCCGGCAAGGTAGCGGCAATTTGCCTGAAGTGCCGGCTTTCAAGTAGAGAAGCCAGTCAATTAGCTTGTGGTATTTTCGAGAAGTAGTGGCGCGTAGCTTGTTGTATTTCCGTCAAGGTAGCGGGAAGTAGCCTGTGGTATTTTTGGCAAGGTAGCGGCGCGTAGCTTGTAATAGCGGTTTTCAAGTAGGGTAGCCGGTAAATTAGTTTTTGGTATGTTTGAAAAGTAGCGGTCCGTAGCTTGTGGTATTTCGGGCAAGGTAGCGGAAATTCGTCTATGATATTGCTGGCAAGGTAGTGTATTTTTGCTTGTAGCAGCGGTGTTCGAGTATTGTAGCCAGTCAAAGAGATTGTGGCACTCTTGAGAAGTAGCGGCGCGTAGCTTGCGGTATTTCCGGCAAGGTAGCGGGAATTCGCTTGTCGTATTCCCGGCGAGCTAGCGGTAGCAAGTAGGGTAGCCAGTAAACCAGTGTTCCAGTATGGTAGCCAGTCAATTAGCTTGTTGCGGGAACTAGCCTGTGGTATTTCCGGCAGTGTAGCAGCAGGCAGCTTGTGGGAACTAGCCTGTTGTAGCGGGAATTAGCTTGTGGTACTTTCTGCAAGGTAGTGCAGCCTGTGGTATTTCCGGCAAGGTAGCGGGAATTAGACAAGGGAAAACAAACAATGACGTAAACATAACAATTCGGAGGTTTGTGCGGATTTCTCGGATTTGCCTTGGACCCCCCTGGCGGCGCCTCCAGCTCCGCGCGCCAGGGAGGGGGGTCAGCGCCGATCCGAGAAATTCGCGCGGACCTTAGAGTTTTTATGTTCATGTCATAGATTGTTCCCCTATAGACAACAAAAAACCGGCCTCTGTCTATGCGAGGGAGGAGATTCGTACTTTTGGGGGGCGCACATGACCGGTATCATTTGGCTTACTGGGCTTCCCAGCATGGGAAGGATGTTCGGGGAAAGGCAATCCTTGCATTGAATGAGGGATTACGCTGCTCAGGTATGTGGGGTAGAACGCAGTGGAACAAAGGATTTGATAACACGCCGTATCCCAAGATGTATATCTAGGGTGGCGGGGGGGGTGGAGGATACAGGGAGTCCTTTTCGAGGCTCGAAGCGTGGAACCTGTTCTTTGTTTTAAATGTAAGTTTGATCGCTGCGAGCCGCGAACTTGTTGTGGCGCAGCTGCGCTGCTGCAGCCCACGTGAAGCTCGCGTGAGGACTTTTTCTGGACTGGCTGGTTTATTGTTTGACTCGTTGCCTGCTGCTCCTCATCCTTTGCCCCTCGTTCTTGCTCCTACACCGTTTCCTCTCTGCTCCCTCCTCAGCCTCTTCATCTTTTTCATTCTACCACAGCCATGCCCGCCAGCATGCAACGCGCATTTAAGTTGCGAAGTGGGTCAGAACATCGGGGGGAAAGTGTGATCAGTAATTTCCCGAGCTGCTGCAAAGCCCGACGAAGCAACGGCCCTCGAGCCAGCGCAGTACTCTGCGCAGCGACGCTTCGGACAAGTGTCGCAAATACGTTTCAACAGTTTGAGCGCCTACGAGCCGCAAGCACGCTCTGGAACAACTTTGCTGTTGCAGCCCACGTGAGGCCAACGTGATGGTGATGAAAATGGTTTCTATAAGTACAGATTATGTACATATATATGTATATACATATATGTATACATATAACTATTTGCACAGTTCTACATACATGCATGCATGCATACGTACGTACACACATGCATTTACGTGTTCATCCTTGCGGTTGCATGCCGAGCGCACGTCTGGCGCGGCTCGCGGTTGACGCGCATTTGGCGCGTCGATTTGCCGCAGCAGGTACCCAGCCAGAGTCTACAGCGAAAGTGTGCCCGCGAAAGTGCCCCAGCCAGAGGCTGGGCGCGCCGCCAACCCCTGGCCCCAGCTCACCAGGCCACTCACCCCCCGCGTTCGTGGCGTGAGACCCCCCACGTACGCGGCGAGGGCGGCGGGGGGGCCCCGGAGGGGGCACCCGCGAGAAGGCCGCGGGAAGCCCTCGGACGCTCCAGTCCACAGGGTCTAGCCCTGGCTCTCGCAGAGGACCCCCCGGCGGAGTTGGCTTTCTTGCGGATTTCTGCCAACGTGTGCCGGATCGTCCATGTCAGAGCGGCTGGGCTGGAATTGCCGTTCGCCAGCCTGGTCACCTTCCACGCGCAGCAGGCCCGGGTGCTGGGTGGCGTCCTCGGCGGGCCACTGCCTCTGGAAGCGGTGAATCGGGCCACCTGTGCGGCCGCGGACGGGGGGCTCGGCCTCCGCCGAGCTGTCGACCTGCGCTGCCCGGCATTCCTCGCCAGTCGCGTGGAGGCGCGGGGTCTGGCAGAGGAGGTCTTGGACGCCATGCCAGAGACGTGGCACGGGGCGGTGCTGGCGCATGGGACTCTACCACGGCCGATGCACTGGCAGAGTGGCCGGCGGAGCTCCTGGCCTCCACTGCGGAGGTGGCGGCCCACCACCTCGAGCCTGGCACCACCGCGGCCTGCCGCGAGCTGCGCAGTTAGCGGGGCGGGCGCCGCCGCCCCCTCTCTCGGGTCCCCCGCCGCCGACCGGCGCCGACGCGCTGTTGGCCCCGGCGGGGGGGGTCGTCCTGTGATGCGCCAGATCATGTGCGGTTGGGCTGCGATGTTGGATGGTGTTACATGCAGTGCCATGGGATGTGATATCGTTTATGGCTGCGGCGACACGGGCGCCGACGTGGCAAGACCTCGGCCGATCCACCCAGCGCACGGGGCGTCCGCAAGCGCCAGCGAGGCTGCGCAAGCGCTAAAACGGCGAAGCCTCGGCAAACGCACCTATCACACAGGGGCCCGACAGCGCATACGAGGCGGCGACGGCAACAAGTTGGTCACTGTGTCGGCCGACCCGACTACTTAGGTCACAAGTAGAAACATCCCTAACATCAAGAATTGTCTGGTGAATGCTGGAAATTATGTAACGCGCGCTCACGTTTGAGTTTCAGGCGAAGTTCGGGGCAATGCGCGGACATGTCGTCAGACTGCGTGTAACATAATGGAAATGATCCGCGAGAGTGAGCAACAAAGTATGAGGGTGGCGGGCTGGGCGAAGGGCGCTGCCGGGAACGATGCGTGAATGCCAGCACACCCCCAACAACGTGGGAATAAGAGCACAAGGGGAGGACGATGCGGATGAGGAAGACGATACGGGGAATGGGGGGGATGTGGATGACTGACCCGTGCAAGTGCGAGTCAGGCTTGCTGGAAGGATGAACGAGGAAGGGTGAACGAATCATAGTTCGATCTAGAAATCCATGAGCAAGGAACAGTGGCAGAACTAGACAATCTTTTCCTGATCGCACATTTGCGAACGTGTACCAATATTTGTCCATGAGCTTTGTCCCCATCACGGACGGATGAATCGTTTTTGCGAGATCAGCCGCATCTCCGATGCATGATTCATCTGCAAACTCCCAGTGGTCTTCGCGATAAAGACGTGACACGTGTTAGCATACCACCAGACGAACAACACAAACGCATGTGATTTGACAAGTTGTTATGTCATATGTGTGTCAATAAACTGTCACATAATAGCATGTCTTGTCATATGTCAGCTATTATGTGACATGACGGGTGTGATATTATACGGCAATATATGTCGGAATTGTCTGTCATGTGACAAATGTTCAGGTTCGACTATGGTTGTTTCTTTCTACTGCACGCGCAACGCACCGTCATATGACACAATGTTATGTCATATGATTGGTTTTTTCTTTTATATTGCTAGCGCTGTCTCTACTGCAACACACCACATAATCTGTCATATGACACAGTGTTTCGATGCTCGTTCTGGGGACCTTCCTGAGGCCCACCTAACGGATATGTTCGACTCAGGTTCGACTCAAGTTCGACTCAGATTCGACTCAGGTTCGACTCAGGTTCGACTCAGGTTCGATTCAGGTTCGTTGAGGCTTCGACGCAGGTGTGGAGCGAGTGGCTCCAGGAAGGTCCCCAGAATGAGTATCTAACAATGTTCTGTCATATGACGTGTTTTCCTGTCAAGTTGACCGTGCTGCTTTTATTGCGGCACATCTAACAAACCGTCGTATGACAGAAGTGCCTGTTATATGGCAGGGTTTTCTCTGTTATGTTGGCGGTGCTTGCTTAACTATAGCATAGCCAACAAACCGTCATATGACATAACGTTATGTCACATGACATGGTTTCTGTCATAGTGAAAGTGATTTTCCTGCGTCGCATCCGGCAAACCGTCATATGACATAATGTTCTGTCATACGACAGGTTGTTATGTCATGTTGTTGGTGTTGTACGTGCCATATAGTTAACGAACCGTCATATGACATACGTTTATGTCATATGTTAGGTTTGTCTTCCATATACATGGCTATATGCTATACCTGCACACCCAACATGTGGCATTTATGCTTATGGTGTATGATGTGTGTGTATGACATGTGTGCGTGTGTATCGAAGAACAGCAGAAGCAACCACCATACTACTACAAGTGACGAATGTTATGTATAACGGATGTATGTCTTATTGTTGGGTACGTGTGATCGTACCCATTGATGGGCAAGAAAAGCGTATAATAGACGCACAGGTGTGTCGTACGATCCGTTGTTATGGAATGTATTAAGATATGTGTTTGCCCATGTGTGCATGGTGGGGATCAGCCGTGTTAACCTCATAATGTACTTTGACATATGCGGTGTGACACGTATCGTATGTAGGCGTATGATTTACGCTCACATTCCGCGGGGTTGCCAGGCGAGCATTATTCTGCAACCTCGAGGAAGAGGTGGTGCTTCAGCTTGCGCACCCAGCACAGACTGTCGAACCGTTTTATCTGAAGCTTTTTGTATAGGATAAGGTGGCGCCTAGCATATTATACGAGCTTCTTGGGGCTCTCGCCGGGGTCTCAGAACTTGCGCCCGTTGTAGCATAGTGCAAGGTAATGAACACAAGTGCGCCTGCGAGTCCACATGCAACGACCGAATGCCCGCAGTAAATTGTGGATCCAAACATGGGTTGTGTATGTGTTTGTGTGTGACAGGGGGGCAATGTTTAATTCAGCACAAAAAGCACAGCGTGCGTTGATGATGACTTTTGCAGGGCATAAGTGTGAATAGGAGATTACCGAGGATCGGAACCAGATACCGCCCTTCAGCAGCCTTAGTTTTCATATTAGGGGCCTTCGTAGCCTTCACACGACACATAGTTAGGTTCCCAATCGGGCACGGCTTGCCAAGAGCGTGGAACGCAAGCTCCAGTATATTTTGCATGATGGTCACAAACTGGGGTGCCACGGCGACGACCAATATAATATCGTGGCGAAGTGGTGGGTACAGATAGGGGAAGGATCCAGAAAGGGGCGAGTGCCTCCCGGAACCGTACAGTAGCCGAGGATGCACAGGCAGAGGGTCTCGAGATTATGCGGAGCAAGACTGGAATGGGAGTTGGAGGACTCTTACGGGTGAGGCCATGGTGGGTGGGGGCACGTCGACAAAACAACAGTTCGCCCAACACCCTGAGCGGCTGCGTAACGCGACCAGCCAACTCTATGAAAATCTCTCACATCACGTTTCCCAGAGTCTCCTGGGTCACGCCGAGGCACCCCACGTGCATGAGACCAGGCCGCAAATATATCAAGGAAAATCATGGAATCTGCAGTGGTCCAGCGTCGACCACCACATCACCAGAACGCATAAGTTCGACATAACGCTTGGCGCTGTACACTGCACGTCGCCACCTCGCATCGTTGCCAAACTCACCCAGCTCTGCAACCGTGCACGGACACCGGTAGCATATCTTTGTATTACCAGGCCCCCCTCGCCATCCTGTGATGTTGAAAACAGTTTTGAACCATGCCCAGTCCCCTCTGCAATCGGTGAAGCCACCCAGCATTCGCATGCGCTGCCCTGATCTGGCGGCTCTCTGTTTATCCCCCCTCAACTCGGACCCCTCGAACGGGGCCCCATCGTGTCGATTTTGGGGCCACCTCCCCGTGACTCAATATCGACACATCCATCCGAGAACTTCCCAAACTTGGGACAAGATCAGCGCTGCACCCCAAGACAGACAACCACTATCTATTGCCAAGATCCCGTGCCCACCCGATCCCCAGACCAATACCGCCCTCATACGAGCAAGCCGTTTAGCTTGGAGTGCAGCGTTGTCCTATGCAATTTAGGAGACGCCGAACATTGCTCGCAACTAATCGTGCCATATCGAGCCTGATGAGACATACATATATACATATATATATATATATATAGAGATATCTATATATGTGTATATGTAGATATATGTATATCGGATTTTGAGGTCTCCGCAAAAGCGTGGGTAATGATTAGTAGGGAACGAGGGAGTCAATGCGAGCAAGTGTTCATCATACTTGGAAGCAAGATCCCCTCGCGGAAAGTACACCTGCTTCCGCAGCCGCATTGGCACACGTACCGCTTGCTCAAACAAACAGCCCAATAACGTTTGTGGCACTTGGGGGACGATTCCATCTACCACACACGTGCACGTCACAACACAGTGTGCTCCCAATCATGGGAAGGCGTGGTGTTCTTTGGGCGGTGGGGAGTGGGGCGGGTGGGTAGTAGTGGGCGTGGGCGGGGCACGTTTTATATCTGCCGTACGGCACGTGCCAGTAAGTGTTGTGATGGTGAACATGTGCAGGCTGTCACGCGTGTGGTAGGGGCACCGTCCCCCCATAACCCGCACATGATCATGCCTTCTGTATCGGCGTGGCTGATGCCGATGCGCTCGGCCCATTCAAAAACTTGAGGACGGAGCGCTTCCTGCAGGCGAGCAGGCGCGTGGGCGAGTGCTGGAAAAATACAGCTAACCGATCACGTCGGGAACAAGCAGCCATTAAGCTTAATGCTTTGGGGTTTGAATGATACGATTTGCTTGCCCGTGCTCCTGGTTCACATCGTAGCTGGACCAGTGTGCTTCACCCCCTGGCTTGATGAGCGCTGTCTCAAGGATCTCAGTGAATAGCAAGAACCTTACCATGCCAGTGGTCTGCGCACCAGTTCGGCGGTTCCACAACAGTAATCGTGCTTGATACGGTTGTGGCATATTGGTTTTCTGGAGAAGGTTTTGCATTGCCGAGAAGCATCGTAGACGAGTCCAGCCGTGGCGTACGATTGATCATCACCGACCGAGACGGTGTCCCCAATTGCATTGTTTACGATCCCCCCCTAAAAGGCGTTCCTTCTCGAGCTTCCGCATCAGATCTCTTTGCGCGTTGGACTCATTGGTTTTCGTCTTGGCGATACGCTTCCAGCATGCCAAGTGGTCGCACGTAGTTCTGTCGTGCAATCCTGCCCTGGCTCCACGACCACTCTCCCGAGAGCTAATCTTCCCTGCGCACTATAAGCGATGAATCCG